GGTTTAGGATGGAGAATAGCAACTCAGTTCATAATCCCATTGTTCCAGGTTGTAAACTTTTTAAAGATGAGAATGGGATTGGTGTTGATGAGACTTTGTTTAAACAGATGGTGGGATGCCTCATGTACTTAACAGCTACGAGGCCGGACTTGATGTTTGCAGTAAGCTTGATTAGCAGGTACATGGCTAAACCAACTGAGTTGCACTTGCTGGCAGCTAAAAGGATACTGAGGTACTTGAAAGGAACCACTGGACTTGGAGTTTTTTACAAGAAGAGATGGTGTGAAGATCTGGTTGGTTATGCAGATAGCGACTATGCAGGAGATCTAGAAGACAGGAAAAGCACATCAGGCTATGTCTTCTTGTTGGGATCTGGAGCTGTTGCCTGGTCCTCAAGAAAACAACCTATAGTCACTCTTTCAACCACTGAAGCAGAGTTCGTGGCTGCAGCTGCTTGTGCTAGCCAAGCTGTTTGGATGAAGAGGATACTTGAGAAACTGAGTTTGGAGGAAAGTAAGTGCACTACAATCCTTTGTGATAATAGTTCCACAATTAAACGATCAAAAAACCCTGTGTTACATGGTCGAAGCAAGCACATTGATGTGCGCTTCCATTTTCTTCATGATCGCACACGAGAAGGAGCAGTTGAGTTGGTTTATTGTGGAACACAAGATCAGTTGGCAGATATGATGACAAAGCCCCTCACATTGGATGCATTTCAGAGGTCTCGGAGTCAGTTGGGAGTTTGTCAAGTTCCTGAATTAAACTAGTTGCAGTTGGGAACTAGTTTAAGGGAGGGAATGAAGAGAAAGTTTGGGTTTCTGTTAGGGATTTCAGATAAGCATTCGGTTTGAATAAGCCCTAGTCTTTAGGGTACTTGTTTAGTGTTTCTTGACTTTTTTCTAGTTGCACTTATCATGTTGATTAGTTGTAACTGTGAGCTAGTTTTTCTCATTCTGTTAAGATTGTAAAAGGCTATTTATAAGCCTAGATTGTTCAATAAGAAGTAAGTCATTCCCAAAATTGTTGTGTACTCTTTCATTTTGTGTTTCAATTCCTAACAAAACAATTATGAGATGTTTCGAATTCTTGAAGAGTTGCAATTCAAAGGATGAAAGCCATCTTCTAAAGGAATTACTAGAGGGCCAAAATCATCCTTTGAAGGTTGAAGATGCCGACAAAGGACTAATTACATCCTTGGAAATACTCGGCAAAGCTTCGAAGGTTCACAACTACCATTATTTTTCCTTCGAAGCTGTTGTTGATGCACGATGGAGTGCTTCGAAGCTAAAAAATTATGGCAAAAAGGGCTTTCGAAGCACACAGGTTGACCAACAACAAAGCCAAAATGATAGTTGTTTACCTATCCACTTCGAAGACAATCTGGAGTATAATAATGTCATGTCTAATACATAACAAAGACCAGCTTTTGGTCAAGAATGATGGTTTTCACATTGCATGGTAGAAAACAACAAACATGGGAACTCATTGTGTTTTCTACAGAGCTTCTTCTTCCTTGGCCAATTGTAAATTTGTATTGGCCACTATTTCACATATGACCATGAAAATAGCCAAGACCATTATTATTGGTCATTTCCATGCTTCCCATTGTGAAAATGTAGGAAAAAACTCAACAAATATATTTTCTAGACTTCAATATTTTGTTAATCATTTCATCAAAATTAAATTTTGATGTGAACCACAAATCCAAAATAGATTTTGAACAACGAAGATAGTGGTTTATGGTGGTTTTCGAAATTCAAATATTTTGAGATTTTCCACATCATCAAAAATTTTAAATCCACAAACTGTGGGTTTGTAAAAATTGATGTATTATTGATTGATATATTGATATATTACAAGGATTCCTATATATAGAAGAGAGGATGTGGGAAGAGAATAGGTGAGTGTGTAGTAGGTATGGAGTAGGTGAGGAGTAGGTGGTAGGTGGAGTAGGTGAAAGGAAAAGGAAAAAAGTGGGTAAAATGTGAATGAAATATAAGCTAAATTTTTTCTTCATTTCTCTTTTCATTTTCAAATCTCTATCAAAATCTATGATCTAAACACAACGTTAATATCTTAGGTTGGACTCTTTTGGGTCCTGCCTACATGTATATCAACCCTTTTGTCTTCTTTTTTTCCTTGTCTATTTCTTCTTCTTCACTTGCACCTTCTTCTTGCACAAATTCACACTTCATTCCTGCATCCACGCATACATTCTATCAATTAATATGAATTTGTATCATGATAAGTTTGTCTGCCCTGATTTTGAATACAAGTTTATATGCAAATGCAATTTGTACCTGTCTAAAGCCCTTTTTTTCAAGTTCTGTTGCCCTTGGTGACTATATCTACATGCTATGCAGCTGAATACTGTTATCTTTCAATACAGCTCCATAATAAACTGAGAAAGGAAGCAAAAGAAAGAGGAGAGGAATATAAAGTTACCAAGATGAGACGAAATATTGAAATGGATGAATATGACTTCATCCACTGGCGCCGATCATTCGAGGAAAGAGAGGCTCTCATCAGAGATATTAGCTGGTAATCTCATTTGTCTTATTGTCTTTCCTTTCATTTTTACATACTTCATATGATTTACCTGTCAAGTAATCAGCATGGTTATCAGAATCGGAGGGTCCTTTAGTTTAATTCACTTATTTAGATCGTATTATGATTGAACTCGAGTGCATTGTTTGCTTTCCCGTTGTAAAAAGTGAAGAAATGAACGTAACAAGGCCCAAATTCGAATGATTAATGTTAGCCTTCATGCCACCTAACCATTGTTCTCTCTTTATTTGTTTTGATTTTCCAGTACATATTCAATGCATGTAGTCATCTAGATTTTTGATGAATAAAATATATAATTTTTTAACAGTTAAAACTGATTGAACCACTGAACTGTAAACCCAGATCCTTAACATTTGATTTCCGGTTCAATATCAGTGAACATTTCTTACCTTTTATTCCTGTGATAGAAATGCCAAATCTGATATTGCAACTTGAAATTAATTTTACCGTCAAGGGTACTTGATTGCAATGTTTTATGTCGGATTGCCTTTACATCATACTAGTGCTATTTTCATTTTTTTTTTTTTAAATAGATATGTGATAAAATAAATGAAATTATAAAATCAATGGGGAACAGGTTGGCAAAAGAAAAGTTTAAAAGAAATGATGGGAAATATTAAAAGAAATGTGAGAGAAATGATGAGTGTAATGTGATGATGATAAAAGAAAATAAAAATCATGAAGAGACATGCCACGTGAGTTAAAGAATAAAAAATAAAAAAAAAAAGGAAAAGGTTGAAAGATTAAAAAATCAGAGGTGCATGTGTGAGTGTGTGGATCTCTTGTTTATATTAAAAAAACCAAAGGTGCATGTGTGAGTGTATGGGTCAAGATTATATATTATAAAACCAGTGTGTGAATCTGTGAGTGAAGATTATATATTATAATAGAGTATAATGGCAACAGCTTTATCAAAAGGCCACCCTCATGGCTACTCAAAGCACGTGATCGCAGAACACCCCAAAGAGAGAGAGATTAGAGGGAGAGAGAGAGAGACAGTGGGTGAGGTTGTTTTGTTTTTATTTTTTTTATTTTTTTTGTATGTCTTTGTTGTTGGTTTTACGCATCAATATATATAACTATATGTATCAGAAGTGACTCACTACAAAGTATGAGCCCTCAAAACAGGTTCACTGGGAACGGGGAGGAGAGCGATGGCAGCGGCGGTGGAGGTAGGGAGGTCGTCTTCGCCATGGCTTGGAGGGTCGACCCGGAGCTTTTAGGGGCCCTAGGCAAGCTTCGGTGAGTATGGTGATGGAAGAGGACGGAAGTGATGGTGCTGGTAGACAACGGCGGCTGATGGGCTGGCGGAGAGTGAGTGACGCTGAGCTTGAGGGTCAGAGTTTCTGTGAGGACAGTGGAGAAGAGAAAAGAGCTAGTGTATGCATAGCAGGTTGAAGAAGGGAAATTTCAAGGTATGTGTAGAAAATTCGAGCGGACTAGGTTGAGGTCCGGCGGACGGCTAAGGTGAGGTTGCCGCCCGCCGGTGAAGTGAAAATATTTGGTTCTAAACCTGCTCTGACACCATGTTAAAATTGATGTATTATTGATTGATATATTGATATATTACAATGATTCCTATATATAGACGAGAGGATGTGGGAAGAGAATAGGTGAGTGTGTAGTAGGTATGGAGTAGGTGAGGAGTAGGTGGAGAGTAGGTGAAGTAGGTGAGTGTGTAGTAGGTGGTAGTGGTAGGTGTGTAGTAGGTGAATTTTAACAGGGTTGCTCATCGTTTTTAACCAAACTTGGTTTAAAAACATGCTCTCTAACAAGCTTTTCATGACTTCGCTCTCCACAAATGGATGTATGAACCCCCCGAGTTATATATGGAACCCCATTCTTAGTCATGTTTGACTCAAGAACATGCTCTTTTGTTATATTAATTTCATAATTTGGCTCTTTAAAAATGGGCTCTTGAACTCCCCGAGCCATTGATGAAGTTATTTTTTCACTAGTTAATAGTCAGAAAAAACTTGAAAACATTTTGTAAAACTCCACAAAATTCAATCATTAAGGACTTGACAAGAAGGGTTGATAACTCATGTCTCCATTGGCAAATTTCCATGTCAAGTTGATGAATTACTCCAATTAAATGGTGTATTTTTTCTTCAACCCAATAATACGATAATGAAGTAACTTGAAAATTTTCTTCATCAAGAAAATAGATCTCTTCTTGAAGATCCAAAATTTTTCTTTCACGCCAATATATTTCATATTGATAAATTTGAATGAAAAATCCAATTCATTTGTTATTTCTTCTTCTATGGCTTTTTCAAGGTGCTCATTTTCTCTTTATCGTCTTCATCTAGCCATTATAATGATAGTTCCACTAGGCGTGTCAAAAATATATGTTGGCTTTTTTTGACTTTCGAAGGTTAAAAACGTAATTAGAGAGTCCTAGTAAGGATCAATAAGTCCTTACAAAGATAGTAAATGCCAACCAATTAATCAGACGATTGTTTTGAAGTTCTTTTTAGCCTCAATGAAGAGGACTTTTACTAATGGCTTGTTTTAGGAGAAAATTCAGAAGACTAATCACAAAAGTAAAAGAAAGAGGGAGAAACAGTGTTAGAAATCAAATTTCATTAAGTAAACAAGAGTTTACAATTGTACCTTCGCACTTTTACAGCTTTGAAGGGGGTTACAACAACAGACAAACTTAGAGTTATTCCTAGGAATTTGAAATGCAGTGCAGGAAACGACTGGGAAATAAAGGACTGGAAAGAAAAATGTAAAGTAAATAAACTGGTTTCTGGATCTGGTTTTGAATCCTATAAATGTATCCATCAATGGCTATTTATAGGAAAAAAAACTTCCAACAATAACTACCTAATAACCACCTAAAACTATCTACTCTTTCACCTTCATTCCCACAATGTCACATATCCCTCCATGTCTTCTGCCAAGTCACTTTGTCCATCGTATTCTTCACATGTGCTTTAACTTCTTCCATCTTGTCTTTCATGTTCCACCATGCAAGACTACTAACTTTGTAACGTCTCTTAACTCCTGATTGATCAAGAAAGTGCCACATGTCCTTGAATAATAATATTATTACTATTTATGGTGTCAACAATAGTATACTTCAAATATTTATACACACATGGTACATTGTAACTAAATATACAATATTGCCTCATAATTATAAAAAATAAAAAATGAAAAACAAAAAACCCCAAATAGTAGGGAGCATTCTTCGTCTATATTGCATTAACATCACCAAGCAAGCTCTTAGCCGTGAAGTAGCATCTAAATAAATAACGACAAGATAATTATTACACTGTAACAAATTTTGGGGACTCAACAATTAGATGCCATGTGCATGTATTAAATTTTCATATAACATAAATTGGGTACACATCGAAAAAATAATGACAATAGTGGAGTCCACTCAATGTATGTATGAAAATTTTCTATTTACTCTATAATTAATTTGTTGACAATAGTGCAGGAGTAGAAGAGAAGTATTGTTTACTACTACTGAACTATTGTCAACTTTTTTATTTAGTCCATAAATTATCGATTGAGTCTGTTTAAGTATTTAAAGTAAATTTTAGTCTATACTTTTAATGATTATATGTGTAAGTAAATTTTTGTGGCTACTAACAAATAAAATATTTGTTTGTACTCATTTATTTATCCATAAACATTTTATGAAAAATATATGTGAAAAGGCTCCATTTTCGGATTTACCTAAGGCCTCATAAATCTCAGGGTTAGCCTTGCCTCTGCTACTGTTTTTAATCTCCAAAATCTCTCTACTATGATAGACACCAACATGCGTTGTGTAGTAAACAAAAATGAAAAAGTACAAAAATTAAAAACATGCTTCAGATGAAGAAAATCATTATCATCTTTTAGTTGAAATTCTCTACATAGTACAATTATAGATCTCCAACATTCAACATCTTGAAACAAAAAATTTATTTTCTACGAACACATATAACAATTTATAAGGTACACACTCTCATATACCAGATATGCTTGTCTTGGAGGCTCCCTTGCTCATATTCATCATTTCAAACATCTGCTCCAAACATGCATATAAATGAATCAATTTCCCCCACTTCAAAAAACTAATTAATTAATGAAATCATCAAATCTTCCGTCCCATCCAATTTGACATTAGTTTTATTGATTTCTAGAACAACAACAACAACAACAACAATAACAATAATAATTCTCTGTCTATCTGGATATTGTTTTGGTTTACTTTCTGGTTTGATTTAGGATTAAATTAGATGAAAAGAAAATAGAGAAGAGGCAACAATGAACCAGAGGTATAATAGAAAAGGAGAAAAGAGAGGGATGAAGAAGAGGACTTGGCAAAAGAAAGGAAGTGCTAGAGAGGGATGAAGAAAGATAGGATAGAGTAGGCGAGTTGTTGATGGCTAGAATTGATCGACGGTGCTATGGCCGGAGGTGGAGGATACCAATTAAAGGACGAAGTGAAATATGTTGGTAGACAGAGGGTTTACACTAAGAAGATTTTATTTATTTTTTATAATGGACACGTGGCAACACAATAACAATGGCACATATCACTACAAGAAATTACAAATTTCCCGACCACTTTTGCTGACTAAAAAAAATTTGGTCGCAAAAAATGACATTTGGTGACCAAAAAAAATTTTGTCGCTAAAAGTTGATACTATTACCGACTAAAGTAATTTTGTTGCAAAAAAGTATTTTTTTGCAACCAAATGAAAATATTAGTCGCCAAAAATATAGGCGGGAGGTGAAAATCTGGACAGGAACAGTAAAAACTTTTAGCGACAAACAATTTAGTTGCAGATATCAAAATAACGTCGTTTTGCTATCTAAATACACTGAGGGACCATGGCCGACCAACACTGTTGTAGGGGATAACTAAACTAATTCAAACCTATATTGAAAAAAAGGGCGCCTCGCAATCGAATTCGATCACACCTCAGTCGCGCCAATCACCTCGCCTCACCATCAACGGTAACGTTATCGTCTGCCGTTCTCCCCTCTCCACCGTCAGCGCCGCCGTCCGTTTTCACCATTTCTGATTCGTCTTCACCTGACACCGTCGTCTAGGTATTTTTTTTTTCAACCTTCTGTCTCTCTCTGATTCGTCTTCTGTTTATATCTCTTTGATTCGTCTTCTCCATTTCTGATTCCTCTTTCTCATACTCTTCTTGTTCTACAATATCTCACCCACCAGGGCCCTCACCATCGCGATTTTTCGGAGCATCTTCAATTCTCCCTAAAAACAATTTGAGGTATAAATCCTCTCTCTCACTCTCACTCACTCAATCTCTGTCTGTCTCTCCTTCTCACTTTCAATGTTTCTGTTGATGTTTGCTGCTGGGATATGTCGATAATAGGATTTCAATCTGTTATTTGTGAAGTCCCCCAATCTGTGATGTTCCCTTGGATTGTTTTATTTCTTCTCTTTCTTTAAGTATCCCCTTTTGTTTGTGAATTACAAGCAGATTTGGGGAAAATTACAAGAAAATTTATGGAAGGATTCACATAATAAAGAACAAGAACCTATAAGTTCATTTATTTATTTTTATTTGAAAATTATTTGACCTGTGATTATTTGGTTCAGATTCATTTTATTTGGAGATATGATAAATTATTGCTGTGGTAGTTTACCAAAAGATCATTATTGTAAATTATCACGATAGTAGTAGGGATTTCAATTGATTTATCATTCCACCAAAATTATTTAGTGGTGGAACTCATTGTTGGGCATCTTGAAATGGAATGTGTTGAATCCCTGATTGCAATTTGATGTATCATTCTATGACTCGATAGATTAAGATAAGAGATCTTTTGGTTTGTAATTGTTTGCCTTTCCAAAATTTGTGACTAGCTGAAATTGCATATTTTTAACCATTGGGTTAGTCTGTTAGGTAGGAGTAGAATGGGAAGTTGTCTACTACTGCCAGTTTGAATTGTTCAAAATGCTTACCAGTTTTGTTTAAGCTTGTTTGGGAAATTATCTACTACAGCCAGTTTGATTTGCATAGAGACTTTTCACCAATGCCCTAAAATTCTCTTCTGTTTCTGAGCCACATACTAGGATTACTTGTTTCCGGGTTTGCGCTCAGTTGCATTTGGATTTGGGGATTTCAAAATCAAAGGATTTAGTGGTAATAATTATTAAAGGACAATGCTAGCTCAAATTTAGATTTTTTTTTTTAGTTTATATTTAAATTTCAATTTTTGAATTTGAGAGCTTGCTTTATCATGATGGATTTGGAATAACAATGTAAAAATAGTAATTTGAAATCTTCATGCCAAGGATACCCTTTAGTTTCTCAACGTAACTATAATAGCCAACTCTCCTTCTGTAAAATTTAATCTCAAACCCCTTCGTTTGAAATCCGTATATCCAAACGTAGCCTATGTGTGTGTATATATTTATACTAGTGATGGGTGTAAATGCGATAAGTTTGATGAATGAAGAAGATAAGTTGAATTTGAAAACTGTTAGTAGTTATTCGCAGTCGACGGCATTCTTGAAAAAAAAAAGTGACAAAGCTTCAAAGCTATTATGAGCTGTGTGCTTTATATAAAACAATATATATATATATGATGTGTTTTTCAATGTTGTTGCTGATTCCTTTCTCGTTTGTTGATTCCTTTCTTGTTTGAGTCCTCTATTTGGTACTATTTCTCATCAAACATGAGTTTAAAAGAGAAATAGCCAAGATAAATGAGAAGAGGAAGTCCAAGATAAAAAGAAAAAAAACAAACTACCCAACAAGCTGCTGCTGCTTGTGCCGGTGCCAGTGCCAGTGCCAATGCTTTTTGGTTATTGTTTTCGCTGTATCTAATACTTGTACTCAATACTTGTATCTAAATTCATGTAACAAAGAGGTTAAAGCATGTCTAAATAGCCAAGTGCATATTTTGTGGACACTTTGGCTACAAATTGAAGTTATGAATGAAGGTGTAAATAGAGCTGGTGGTGGAGAAAAATGTGATTTGGCTTGAGCTTCCAATCTGTGCCTGTCACTTGAGTGTGAGTTGGGGTCCATGGGGGACTTGGAGGGGAATGTAATATCATTAGACTGACATGAACTTCAGGACATGAAGCTTTAAAAAGTTCAATCAAAGCCACCTAGTTATTTCAATCATATATTATATGCTATGTTTTACTGACTGTAAAATTCACTAATCATTGAAAACAGGGCATTTCCTAGTGAGGCCTGACCTGGGCTATACCTCTCTCTTGTACTAGTTTTATATAGACTCGCGTACTAGTGTTTGGTTTGAGTTTGTGTCTAAGGCCTTGTTTGGGAACAGGCTTTTTTAGTATCCTTTTGGCTTTTTGGCTAAAATATGATTTAAAAAATACTAGTATGTTTGGGATGACTTTTTGGCTTTTTACGAAAAGATGTGCAAAAAGTAGAGAGAAGGGAATCTTTGATTTTTTTGTATAGGTTGTTGGCTTTTTGGCTTTTTTAGTAACTTTTTGACTTTTTGGCTAAACTGGTCGCTTCCCAAACAAGGCCTAAGTGTCTGATTAGTCTAATTCCATGTTCAAGGACTTGGTCATTTTGTGTATAGAAATTAGTGTATTTTTTGGGGAAATTTGTGTTTGTTGTGAGTTATGATTGATGGGTTTTATTTTTTTTGTTTTGATTTGATGTTGTTAAGTGCAGTAATTTGATGATTCAAAAGCTTGGTTTAATTGTTTGGGAACAAATTTTTGTGTGTTCTTGAGGTGTGATACAGGGGAGCTGTTTTTCTTAGAATTAGATTATGTTGAAGAAGAAAAATTGTTCATTTAAGGGTTAGAATTAGGTTTTTGGGGATTATGTTTTTGTGTTCTTTGGGGTAAGACTAATGGGTATTGCTTTTCTTTTCTGGGACCTAGTTCTCCTAAATAGGTGAAATATGCAGTGCAATCTGACTGAAAAGCTCATTCAAAGACATGTGGTACTAGAGAATACATATGCGACTGTGGTACTCTCTTCTCAAGGTAATCACCTATTCATTCTTTTCATTTCCCTGATATCATATGCACAATGGACCATCCATTATCATATATCTATGCCCATTCATGATTTACAAAGGAATCATGGGAAAAATTGGTTTTGGTTTTGGTTTTGAGAGAGCAATCTTTTTAAGAGCCTGCCTATGAATCATCTCCTTCCTCCTCCTCAATCCTTTAGGGACTTCTATATCTGTGTGAGAAAAGACCATGGAAAAATCTTTTTCTTTTACTTGATTATTCTACTCCCTTCCCTTGCAATTCTCTCTCTTTGAGGGAACTACATAGCAATGCTTGAGCAATATTGTATAATGGCATGGCATAAGAATAGGGTAATAATAAAATCTATGTAAAATAATTTGAAAAACTGGTACTCATTCATTTCAAACCAATACATCTTTATTTGTTATTTTAAAATGTTACTACCATTTGCCAATCATTTTTATTTTCTAGTATATGGTAAGAGGAAAAGGAAAAAGGAGGGGGGAAAAAAAAGAAAAAGAAAAAGAAAAAAAAAAATTGTAATTCAAATCTCCTCCTTCAAAACACCACCAGTCATCTTTTGCTATTCACGTGCAGTGGATACAATGTGAGGAAGGAAGGATATGTTGTTACTTGGTTTGTTTGTTCTCATGTGAGTTGTATATCCTTACTGGTTTTGTTCTCTTATATTTTGGCTACATGTACTCGGTGCTGTGCCCTTGCAGGCTCTCCTTTCATGAAATTGTTAGTATTATGGGACCATCTTTTAGGCCATGAGTGATTTGTATCAGCACTACATGTACTGGTTTTGTTCTTGTGAGTCTTGTAGTCAGGAGTTTGTTAAATTTAGGCAAAAAGAAGAATTGATAATATGAAGGCTAAGAGCCCCATCTTTTAGGCCATGAATGATTTGTATCAGCGCTACATGTTAGCTCCACTTCTCAGGGTCTCTTTGGCCAATAGTGCTCTCTCTCTCTCTCTCACACACACACACATGCGCACACACACAAACACACACAGCACAGCAGGGCAAGAGTGGCACTAATGATCTATTTATTTAACCATCTATTGAACAGTTGGATGCAGACTGTTTTAGACAATCATCAGATCTTAGTAGTTCTTTGCCTAGGTGTCTGCTCAGAGACTCTCCAAGGGGTTTGAGCTGTAATTAGGGAAGGGTTAATGAAATTTCTTTTACATCTAACCATTAATGTTCTGAAATGGCGTAGGGAGCCTGCCTTGCGCTGAATGCTGAGAAATGGTCCGAATGCGTCAGAGAAATTTGCACCTTCCATGAGTTGCCCTTTCCCGCAGATGATGAGAGATTTCCAGTTGGCATGGGTAGCAATCCTGTAAGTGAGTGGCTCATGGTCTTCTGCAGATTTTCAAATTTACTGGCATTTCTGTTTTTAATGCGCTAGTTTTTTTTGTCATTCTTTGTATTGGATGCCTAGATTCTAAGCATTTTTGGAGTCCTTCAGCTATTTGAACCAGAAGCATCTGAAACTTTGGTTTTCTAAACTTTCTTTTTTCTTCTCACTGGTTAGCATTTTGGAAAGAACTAGAGACATTTTGGAAAGAACTAGAGACAATTAAAATTGGTTTTCCTGTAGGAAAGATTAAAACGTTAAAAATAAAAAGGACTTTTTTTTCTTTTGGATAAAAGGAGTTGTTTACATGTACTCCATTAAAAATTGAAGCCACTGCTTGAGTAACCTGATACAAAATTAAAACATTATCATTAAAACTAACAACTGTTATCATTCCTGGAAAAATGATCTTTAGCTATCTGATCACTTGTTATATTATTTGTTAACAGGTTTATCTCATTGCTGACCATGTAATTAAACCAGAGTTTTAAAAGGCTTTCTTGAGGCTCGCCTTGAGGCTAAGGTAAAACGCATCAAGTCTTTGATTTTTAGGCATTACTCCCCAAAGGCTTGCGCATCATAGTTTGAGACATGCGCCTTAAGTGCGCTTTGTACGCTTTTTACGCATAAGCATGTGAGGAGTATGCACATGTAGAGGTTGCCTTGGGTGTTTGTTAAACTTGGTCTATTAGATTGTTTAAACTTAAAAAATTAAAAAGAATCCATTTTTGCAACTATATTCTACAGGAAAAATTAAGTAAATGAACAATCAAGAAAAACACAGTTAATGGTCAAGTGAGAAGCTCAATCACTGAAGTTAAGAATATCAATTTCTCTTTCAGTGAAGGAAAACTTCCTTCTATGTAGTGAAATGTTCAAGCGAAAAGTATTTACACCTTTATCTTTAATTTTGTTTTTATTTTTTTAACTATTTTAAAATATTTAATTTATTCACTAAATATTAAAATTTGAAATTTGAAATGCTTACGCCTCGCCGCCCTGAGGCTTACGCCTCGCCTCATGAGAGGTAAAATGCCTCAAGGTACGCATTCGCCTTTAAAAACTTTGAATTAAACTGTATGTTGAAGACGGGCTGGAAGTTTCTCTTCATGCTTTAGGCGCTGAGGTACCATCTTCTTGTTCTTGATTTTTGTCCCTCAGAGCAGTTGTTTTTATCCTTACATCGTATGAACTTTGATTGCATCTTTACAGCTGGAGTTTTACAGTCTGCAAGGTTGACTCCCCTCTGAAAAACCACATTCCTAGTGTTTTAGCTAGTGGAATTCTGTTTATTGAAAATGGGTCATATAAGATTGTACCTTGGGATGGAAAAGGAGTTCCTAATGTTATTGCTAGTTGTAATTTGATCCCAGAAAATAGTTTGGAAGTTGATTTTCCATTTGGTGTATGGAGCAAAAAAAAATTTGAAATGAAAAAAGCGAGGATGTCAATAAATGAATTAATCAGTTCTGGCGACGGCTCAAGGATATGGCCATATATTGTAACAAAAAGATGCAAAGGCAAAACATTTGCTGAGCTGTAATTTGACTAGCCTTACAGTTTCTTGTTTCAATTTAGATACTGGGTGCTTGAAGTACAGCCCTTCTAATATGTTTGGGTGTTGTATGTCCAAATGGTCTTGACTTCGTTGTGTACTCTTTGCAGACGATAAACTCTCTCATGGGAAGATACTCTATATTTAGCTTCTTTTTTGGGCGAGCAACTGTGCAATCTTCATCTCTTGCCTTTTCCATCTTTAAATGCTTCAACATTTGCTGATGCTGAAGAGAAAATGGAATACCCTTGTGTTAATGGTTCAATGGAGGCTGTCACCAATAAACTTAGTATAAATAACTAAAGTAATTTTCAGCATTTTGAATATTATATAAATAACTAAATTAAAAAGTCATCTTGTGGCTTCTCACTCACAGTGCTTTTGTTCACGTTCAACTAGTAGTGTCTTCACATCAAATCAGCATTACATATTTGGCCTTAAATTCGAAGTTTGTGCATGGAAAAGAAAACCAGCCAACTGCATGTCTACAAACCAGGGGAAGGAAAAGGTCATATTGAAATATATTATACCTGTTTCTTTATATGGCTTTCTTTGTACATCCTACAATGAGAATACCCTTAAAGTACCTTTTTCAGCCCGTTGACTTAATTGTCTATCAAAGCTATTGACGAGTACTCAGAAGGCATGTGAACTTGTGTTGAATATTATGAATTGTGCTCATGAGGATATTATCACCAAAGCTATGAATTGTACCATACTGCCATTATGGAGCCACTGGTTGGCCCGGGCACGAACTCTGGCTTTTTGAGGATCTTGTAACTGTTGTTCCAACCCACATGCATGAAAAACATGGGAAGGCAACCAACCAAGTCAAGCTTGGCAGCCACCAACCATAGCAAAGGTCAAGAATGGAGGCTACCCAAGTCAAGAATGAAGGCTCTCCCACCTACTCCTTTTGTGTATAAATAGAGACGGGAGGGAGAGGATGAGAGATATCAGAAATTGGAGAGTAAGAGCTGTGAGTTGAGTGAGTTTCATCTCCTCCTCTGTATTTTGTATTTTGCTCCATTTTAGTGAAAATTCTCATTTCTGTCCGTGGATGTAGGCATTGGGCCGAACCACGTAAATATTGTGTTCTCTGTGTGTGTGTGATATTTTTCTGGGTGTGTGTTTGATCCTAACAGTAACTGCTTGATCTACCTCTTCAATCCTTGTTTGAAATCGACATTCAAATCTTCCTGTATGCTCCTTGTTTTTTTAAAAGCTTATTTCAGATTTGAGAAACAAATTCGAAGGATAGATTTGTCGAAACAAAGCAAAATCTAGTTCAAATCAGGGTAGTAATATGATAATTAGCATATAACCCAACCATACAAAATGTTCCATTGACTATCTATGAAATGACAAACTTCTCCAAGACTCCAAAAGCAAACAATATGATGAAAAGCTATACAAATTTATTGTGGCCGTGGTAGTTTTCTTCACTAATTCTTCACTTTGATTCTTATGTTTATGAATATATTTTTCTGTACTGCTAGTTATCTGTACTTGATACACTGATGCCTCTTGTATTTTTGTGCACTTATTACGCACATTATCCCATAGTAATTAACTTTATGATATCTTTAATTGAATTGGCATCAGGGTTCTTCACAATCTGCCATCCTCGGTGAAACTACCGTCAACCTGCTAATTATGCTGATGCATTGAAGCCTTCTATCATTGCACTGCCTCTACATGGATGTAAGTCTGGAACTATTTTACATGTGAGACACTTCTATTAGTTCTTTAAGCTTTTAAACAGATACATTTTTCAATTGTAACCAGTGACCAAGTTGAATGTATTAGTTGAGCAGAAACGTCAAAATTCAAATGAAGAATTTTGAATTTATTATGCTTCTCATTACTTGGATTGGGATTTTTAAAGTTTCTGCTCAACTTAGCAGCCACCTAGAAGTAAATAGAATTTTTTAATTGGATTCTTAACTCTATTTGCTTTTTGGGTTTTTGATTATACTCTATTTGGTTTCTGAGAAAATCTAGTAAAGAGAAGGAAAATTTTGAATTTATTAGGTTTCTCATTATTTGAATTGGGAATGTAAAAAGTTTTACTCAACTTAGCGTAGTAGAAGTAGATAGCATTAGTTAATTGAATTCTTAATTTTGTTGTCTGTTTGGATTATGGGAAAATCGAGGCATTAGTTACTATCCTCTCTCTATTTACTTCTTGGGTTTTTGATTATACTCCGTTTGGTTGTTGAGTAAATATTGTAAAGAGAAATGAAGGAAGAATTTGAACAACAGCATTAGTTAACTAAATTCTTAATTTTGTTGTCTGTTTGGATGATGAGAAAATGGAAGAAGGAATTGCAATTTTAAGATATATTTTGATTTTGAAAACTGAACTTGAGCTTTAAAGCAAAAAGTAGTACCTATGGTCATTCGAGTAGGGGTCATACTTTTTTTAGGTTTTTAGGTAATGACAAAGATAATGTATTAAAGTGCATTTGTTTGTGATTGGATTGAAGTTTGTCAATTTCTTCAATTTTAGTTTTAGTTTTTGTTGGTTTCACATCTATCTCAATTCACTGACAGTATCAGTACATTAGATTGATTTCTATGTTTTCTTTTAGTTCTAGGGTTTTTTTTGGTTTCATTCACAATAGGACCTTGCTATCTGAGGATAAGTCAGAAAATCAGACATAAGAAAAAGAAAAATAAGAGAGAGAGAGAGAGAGAGAATTTTGTATCTTTGTATCTTCATATCTTCTTCACGTTTTGAATTATGTAGTACAAGTACTTGAGTTACAAGAATTCCTGCAACTGTGCTTACTACAACTTTGTGCAATAGAATTTTAGTTTTCTGAAAACCAATTACAAGATAAAACTCAAGATTTTCCTTTTTACCCGTTTCTTTTTTCTTTTATTTTCTTAGGAAGTTGTTGAGCATAATATAGTTGTTCAAATAGTTTTTAATTCCCTATCTAAATTTGAGAAATGAAGAACTCTATTGGCTATTTAGTTGATGGTTGGTGGTTATTGTGGCTGAATGGGCCACTTTGCAGTCTTCACAAAGGGTGCTAGTCGTGGTTCTGAACATTGGCTATTTTGTCGCGAACTGGCTAATGTGTATCTAGTTTTTAACTTGTAACTCCTGTCTAGATTATTCAGAGTGACGTGTAACAAGGCATTGTGGTTTCACTAATAGATAGCTTTTGCTGGAAAATTGAGTATCTTATCTTATCTGTTTCACTAATTGATTTGTGTTTCTTTCTCTTTGCAGCTAGCAAAAGTAGCAAAAGCACAATTTTCACGTGATTACAATGATCACCTTGCTCTTGTCTGGGCTTATGAGGGCTGGAAAGAAGTTGAAAGAGCCGTAGTTGGTTATGAATACTGCTGGAAGAATTTTCTTTCTGTTCAATCAATGAAAACTATTGATGCTCTGCGAAGGGAGTTATACTCTTCACTTAAGGAATATGTTTTAAATTTTAATGCTACATGGATGTGAATTGAATGATTATATAGATTACAAGAGGATTTTTAATTGAAAGAATATGTAGTTTGGAATTACTTGTGGATGAAAACTTATAATAGTTGCGGACTTTAATTAAACAGGTTCAGAATTTGATGATTTATATATTTTGTTGAATGTTCATGATTCAGGTGAATTGTTGGTTTGATTGATTATTATAAATTATAGATTGTATTAAATGGATTGGATAAATTATTATGAATTACAGGTTTATTTTGTTGCATGTTGGCGCAAACATTCCTTTTGGCGACCAAACTTTTTGGTTGTGGAATGTGACAATTATCGACCAAACTAAGAGGTCGTAGAATGTCAAAATTGGTGACCAAAATTTTTGGCCGTGGAATGTCACAATTGGCAACCAAACTTTTTGGTCATGGAACATGACAACAGGTGACTAACATGTTTGGTCGGGAATATGTTACTTTTCGCGATTAAAGTGTTTTATCAATTAAATGGATTAGTCACAGTAATGATATATTTAGCGACTAAAAATTTAGTCGGGAAATCTAATTTTTTCCTGACTAACGAAAGTTTTGGTCGCTAATTACTTTTGCCAACCCTCAATTGGCGACCAAAGTGGCGACCAAAAAAATTGGTCGCGAATAGTTTTTGCCGACTAAAAATTGACTTTTGCTGACCAAATTTTTAGTCGACAAAAATGTAATTTCCTATAGTGTACAGATTTGGTTTCTTCTTCGCTGTGTCTCTTCACGTTTAAGACCAGGTTGCATGTAAGGGAGAGTGTTAGAGAGGTTGATATTCATTGTTGTGCCTATTTCCTAACAACTTGAGCTTTTGGAATTTCAAGTTTTTGTGGCATGTTCGTGACACTTTCTTTCGAGATTTGCTCGTGTTCTACATTTTCTCTACCTCTTTGGGCTTATGTTGATGTTAATTGGGCTGGTGATATTTTTGATCGCAAGCTTATCATTGCCCTCTGTGTTTTTCTTAGTGATTCTCTCATCTATTATTGAGGCTGAGTATCAAGCTATGACACAGACTACTGTTGAACTCATCAGCATTGTTGGCTTTTTGTTGATTTGGGAGTTTCGCCTTTTGCAACTCTTTTTTATTGTGATAACCAAAGTGCCATTCAAATTATGCAAAATTATGGCTACGTTTGGTTTGGTTTTGGGAGAGTAATTTTTAAAAATTGTTTTGAGAGTTTAGAAATTTTTTTAGTTTGTTTGGTTGTATATTTTGAAAGTAGTTTGGAGTTTAGGAGTTTGAAATGATTTGATATTTTGTTATAATTGAATAGATGTGTGTGAGAGAAAAAGTGATTGAGAAGGAGAGATGAGAGATAAAAAGTGATTGATTGATAGATAAGAGAGAGAGAGTGATTTTGAAAATTGTTTTGGAAAATTTACAAACCAAACAAAATTTTTAAATTTTTTCCCCCCCAAAATCACTCTAGAAATCCAAGCCAAACATACCCTATGTGTTCCATAAGCGAAATCAACATATCGAGATTGGCTACCAGTTTTTGCATTAACATCGTCAGTCCGACAATATTTGTCTCCCATTCGTCTATTTTACCTTGTAACTTGTTAATTTCTTTACTAAGACTCACATTTCTTCCCACTTTCAATTTCTTTTTGGCAAACTATCGATGTTCACCAGGCTCACCTCATAAGTTTGAGAGGGGTTGTGAAAGGTATGCTATATTTTTGATATACTTCCTATTGTATTTTAGATTAGAAGTATTCTATTTAGTTGTTTTATTATTTTGATTTTGCATATTTTTAAATACGAGATTCAATAGTAGTGTAATTATTCATACAAAAATAAGACAATTATGTATAATATAATATTATAATATATTTATATGGGTTAATCATTTTTTAGTCCTTAAAGTGAACAGTTTATATTATTTTGATTTCTAATATTTATTTTGTGTCAATTTAGCCTCAAATGTATATGTGGGGACATAATTTTTATCTCATCCACATGGCTACGCTTGAGGGGCAAGGTGCCATGTAGCAAAGTATGATTGATTGAGATGTGAAAGTAATTCACGCTTCATCCAAAATAATTGGCTTGGGTAGGAGTCCTAGTGAGAGTTGACTCATAAGTTGGGTGAGATGGGACTCTTTGGAGAGTCAAGTCCTAATCCAACTAGGAGAGATGAGTCCTAGGTGATTTGTTGTTCCTCAAGAGAATAAGTATTCAACTTAAACCATATCACTGGGGAGAGGCACGACACTCTATATAAAACTGTGTATTAATACATGTGATTTTGTGCTTATTGTTACTCTGCACAATTGTATTTTGAGAGTTAATTACTGATTTTATCATCGGAGTGCCCTTCTGATTAACGAGCAACTGTGGGTTAGTTATTATTTTGGTCTTGCAGTGTGGATCTTAATAGTAGTCATGTGCTCATTGGTTTTGTTCCCAGAATTCCAAAAGGAAGATTATAGTATTGGTTGGGCAGTCACATTTTAGTACCCACAATTTGGCGCCATTTGTGAGAACAAAGTTGAACTAGATGGGTCCTAACACTGTGCGAGGACACTTAGAGTGAGCTGGTGATGATATGGTGAATGAATCAAGTTCTAAGGCAATGACCCTTGAGCAAAACAAATTCGAAAGGAAGAACCCTTGAATGAAACTAGTTCGAATGGAACGACCCTTGAGCTGGGAACAACCCCTGAACTAGTCAGCCTAGGCACACCGAGAGGGTGTAGGGGGACGATTGGTCGACTAGGTTGAAGAGTTGTTTCAATGAGAAACTGAGAGAATTAACTTGGGTGCACGGAGAAGGTGTGCAAACGATTGGCCGACTAAGTTAATGAAACTGTCTAATGTAAAGCCGAGGTAATGAGTACCATCTATTCGGTGCATCCAAGGTAACAGAAGTTAGCCTTAAGATATTGATTTCAGGCGAGGTGAATAAAACCCATGAGGGGTGAGGGCACCAACCTAAATAATGTTTGGGGAGCTTCTATTTACACACCAAATACCCTCTTTGCACACACTTAATGATATTTAATCTTATTACAATTTTATCCCTAAATGAAATTACTATTTTAGACATCTACCCAATTCAAAAGTCTCAATGCACACACATCCATCACGTTGAAGCTCCAAGTTCAGCACTCATTCATTAAGCTGAAGTCAGTCATCCATCACGTTGGACTCACCTTCACAGAGCATCGCTTATTCTTCATTCATCATTGTTCTGGAGGATTTTGCGTTGGAAATGAGCAGAGTCGGGTTTGCCTGTGGAGGATATCCAAATAAGCATCACTTTTTTTTTTTCCAGCGTCGTTCGGATAACCAGGGTCGTATTGTATTATTTGGTTCGGAAATCTACAACCGAAATAATTATTTAATTTCGGAAGTTGTTGTCCGAACAAAGTTATTAATTTCGGAAGTTGTTGTCCGAACAAAGTTATTAATTTCGGAAGTTGTTGTCCGAAAAAAGTATTTAAATTCGGAAGTTGTTGTCCGAACAAAGTTAACCTTTACAACATTCAACTTCCGAAATTTTAAAAAAAATTCGGACAACTACTTCCGAATGAAGTGAAATTTTGTTTTCCCATTTTATATTACAAAATTGCAAACTGCAAACTAAATTTACAGTTTCGAATTGCAAATTTATGTTTATAATGCCATTAAAAATTTGTAATGTTATAACAAAACATGTAGGAATATGTGTCAACTGAAGGAAGTCAGGTTTGCGCGGATTTTGTATTGGATTACACTACTCAATTCACATGGATTTTATGTTTCGAATTGCTCACCAAATGTAAATGTTTGATAATAAGAAAATATCACTTACAAAATCAACGACCATTGTTACCATTTCATTCCAAAAATAAAATGTCAGTACAATGTCATTGCAATACCATTGTTGCCATTCCATTGTAATAAGAAAAATGTTAACCACTGTTACCATTACAACAATATCATCTTACCAAAATCACCAAAAAAAATTCATCAACACGCAAATAACATGTCACGAATCAACTGTATGCCTACGCCTAGGCCTACGACTGTATGTTAATGTCGGGTAAAAAGGCATCATCCACAGCAATGTCAAGCATATCATCACCTTCAACTCGTCTTTGGCTTCGGCTTCTACTTTGACTGGCACTGGGGATATCATATTCTACCGAAACTGGATCACGACCTCGACCTCGTCCGCGCCCACGCCCTTGTCCCCGTTCATGGTCAACATCCAATTCACGACGTCGTCTATTTGAAGCAGTATGTGGGACACGTTGTTGATATTCAAAATCCATATTCTCTGCAAAAATTAATATACCCAAACAAAATTAAATTAAAAAAATAATAATAATTCAAAAGTATTACCATGGATGCTTCAATGGGTACTAACATGGATGCTTAAAATATGGAGATTACCACAAATGTAAAAATAATACACAAAAGAAGGGAGAAAAAAAAAATACTGTTCGGAAGTTGCAATCCGAAAATATATATACTGTTCGGAAGTTGAAATCTGAAACAAAAAATTAATTTCGGAAGTTGATTGTTATTTGAATTTAATGTATTCGGAAGTTGACTGCCGAAATAATCAAAAAGTTTTGGAAATCAACTGTTGAAATAAATCATCAATTTCGAATTCCTACTTCCGAACAAATTCCTCAATTTCGGAAACCCAGTTCCGAACGGTTTGTTCACGATCCGTGGGTCTTCGTTTGTTTTCAAAATGAAAAAACAAAACTCTACGTTGCAAATTAAATAGGAATGATGATTCAAAAGTAAACTCACCTAATGAGGATTGAAAATGTGATGGAATGCTTCAATGGGATGCAGCTTGGTGGATGAAATGCTTCAATGTATTTGCACACCTGGGTTGCACACAGTAAGCTTCTATGTGATGGAATGCTTCAATGTATTTGCACACGGTAAGCTTCAATGGGTGTGTATATCCTCAAGGTTGAAGATGGAGCTTAGCTTCAATGGGTGTGTGTAGCTGGGTTTGGAGTCGGGGGTGTGTGTGTGTGTGTGTGTGTGAGGGTAGATGTGGAATGAACTGTGTGTGTAGTGAGTAAACTAATTAGGAATTAATTTTTTTGGTGTGTGTAGTGAGAAGGATGTGCAAAAAGAGTATTTGGTGTGTGTAAATAGATGGTCCCTTGGCTAGGGGGCAAGTGAT